AAAATTAAAAAAAAAAAAAAAAGATGTCGACTTCTGATTCTGAGACCACTTTAACAGGCAAACCTTTATGTTTAAAAATAATAAATCAGCTGGTATAGTGGAGCATGCCTATAATCCCCTCACTTGGAAGGCTGAGGCAGGATTGCTTTGAGTTCAAGTCAGGCCTTGGCTGCAAAGGGATTTCAAGGGCTGCATGAAATGCCCAGTGAGATCCTGTCTCAAAAAGGCAAATATGGGCTGGTGAGATAGCTCAGTGGTCTAAATCGCCTGCTTAGGCAAGTTTGGGGAAGTGTGTGGATGGTGATTCGATCTCTGCCCTAGAGTAGGCTAGCTTGCCACAAAAAAAAAAAAAAAAAAAAAAAAAAGAAAAGAAAAAAAGGACAAAGTAAAACAAATAAAATAACAAATCATGAGGCTTGGGATTTAGCTCAGTAGTAGAATGCTTGCCTAGATTTTCTAGCTTCCATCAATGACCTTTGGTTCTTCCTAATGCAGATTTCTTTGTTTTGTTTTTTATTTTTAGTACAGGGTCTAAAGGGTCTCACTCTGTAAACAGGACTTGTAGTGATCTGTTACAGCCTCCCAAGAGCTGGGATTACAGCCTCACGCAACCACATCCAGTCTCAATAGCCATCTCAGCACGCCCTGGTGGCAGGGCTGGCATGGCATGGAGGGGATCCAGTATGGGCTGCTGCATCTGCCTATGCAGGGCTTTAACTGGCTGAACTATTTGGCCAGCCCTAATTGTGTAGATTCCTGACACAGACCTGCATGAGATGTCGTAGGCTTAGGCCTCCAGCTGGACTCATGTAGGAAACGGAAATGGGCCCTACATGTCCAGCCGGACTCGTGCAGGATACTACCGTGAGGTCGAGGCCCTCGGATGGATTTCTTGTGCTTTCTAGTGTGTGAAGAGACTGCTCTGCACTATTCACTATTTGACTTTTTGGGTGACTACTATAAAACAAACCCATAAACTACATATCCTGCATTAAACTTATTGCCCTGCAAACCCTGACCACAACACAACCATAAAAAGTGTTCTACATACGTAATCTCTTCTTTCTAACATCAAGTAGTTTTTCTTCTAATTCCCAAGATTCCTGTTATTAAAATAAAAACATTCCTATTACTAAAATAAAAACATTTTTTAAAATGAGATAAAATAAAAACATTAAAATATATTACTTAAGTTACGGAGATTCACCTATCACTCTATGTTTTTGGGTTTTTTTTGCGGAACCGGGGATTGAACTCAGGTCCTTGCGCTTGCCAGGGAAGCGCTTATTCCACTGAGCCATCTCCCCGGCCCCCTATCACTCTAGAAGTTCCCATTTTCATTCCCGTACTTCTCTACAACAAAAAGTTAAGGTTATACTTTACATCTTAAGCAGAGAGTTTGCAACACTAGTCAAAGATAAGGATATCAAAAAAAAGTGGAAACGTTAAGGAGTATGAATCCAAACATGCCTGTCCTTGGGGCAGTCTGAGTTAATGACAGCTAGCGCAGACAACAGAAAGAAGTTATCACAGAAACCTTAAAGTTGCAGAATTCGCCCAGTGTGCAAGTTTACCTTCTGTAATCTCATTATTGATTTATTTAGCTTCAATACTTCTTTCATAGTATCCATGAAGACACTGGAAAAAAAACAATATACAGATATATATATATATATATATATATATTTTTTTTTTTTTACGCACACACACACACACACACACATGATTAACCTTAAATACTAAATCTAGCTCATTAAGAAGGAATTAATTAACATATATTTACTTTTACTAAGTCCCTGTGCTGTAAAACCACCTCCGCCCTCTGAGTCCTCTGTGAATCTCCTCCTCAAACCTTATCCTCAATAAAAGTGGAGCTTCTGGCAGCCTCATAGCCCTTTGTTCTACATCCTAAATTCCCAATGTAGTGCAATAAACAAAGAAATAAATAATATTTTGTGTTCTTTAACAGAAAATCACTATTTAATGTGACCAAAAAGTCTCATAGGATGCAATGTATTAATTATTGAAACTCTCCCACTAAAATCGCTTTTGAAACTGTCTCATTGTTATTTGTTTCTCAATAAAATTATTAAAGAAAAATAAAAAGAAACAAATAAATTATTAAACCCCTTCTTCTTCTTCTTTTTTTTTTTTTTTTGCTGAACCAGAGACAAATAAAAGGTTTAAAAAAAAAAAAAAGAAAGAAATCTTCTAGAGAGTAGAGCTATAACCCAAAATGTGGGAGAATATTTTTGGCAGCTGTTTCTCACGCAAAGAACTAGTATCTACAGTATATAAAAATTTTTTAAAAAATTAGATCCCACAAAATTTAAAGACCCAATCCAAAAATAGGCATCTGAGATTAACAGACACTTTTCAGACGAAGAAGTAGGAACAGTGAAGAAACATATGGAAAAGTATGTAACGTCACTGGCCACTCAAAAGATACAAATTCGAGCAACACTGAGCATCTATCTCACTAGAGAATGTCTACTGTAAAGAACTTAAACAATCACAAATGCTGGTGGGGCTACAGGAAAAAAGGAATCCTCCATTGTTCATGGGGTATAGACTGGTGCAACTATTGTGCAAATCAGTGTGGGGATTCCTCAAAAAACTAAAAGCAGGGGTTCCACTTGACCTAGCTATTCCCTTTCTTGGTATCTTCCTGAAAGAATTAAAAGCATCAAACCACAGTGATATATGCATGCTGACGTTTAGATTGGTATGGTCTGTAATAGTTAAATCTTGGAAAGAGCAAAAATGCCCAATATCTGATGAATGGGTAAAAAATGATATTTTTGTATAATGGACAACTACTGTGCCATAGAAAGATAAACGACTGGATGGGGTGGCACATGCCTGTAATGCCAGCACTCAGGAGGCTGAGGCATGAGTTTCATAACCATTGTGACTTCCAAACCAACCAGCTGCACAAACTGAGCTCAAGACCAGCCTGAAGGGCATAATAAGACCCTGTCTCAAAGACAAAAAAGGGTAGGGGGACTGGGGATATAGCTCAGTGACACAGTGCCTGCCATGCACATGCAAAGTCTTGAGTTTGATTCCCAGTTAAAAAAAAAAAAAAAAAGAATAAGCCTGAAACATTTCTAGCTAAGTGGATATACCTTTAGATCACACCTTTAAGCGAAAGAAATTAAACACAAATGTTGGAATTATACATTGTTTCTGTAGTGTGAGACACTACAAGTGTAAACAAGGACCAAAATGTCTAATAGATATTGGGAAGTGGGAAGAAAATGTTCATATGTGAAGGGGAACAAGAGAGGAGGCACGGGGAAAGGAAAGAAGTGACAAGAAAATATGAGGCAGCAAAAGGGCCGGGGAGACAGCTCGGTAGAACAAGCGCTTCCCTGGCAAGTGAAAGGCCCTCAGTTCAATCCCTGGCACCACAGGAAAAAAAAAAAAAAAAAAAGATAGGTTAATGTAAATAAAGTTTTCACAAATAAGGAGGAGAAGAGGGACTAGGACCGGAGGATGGGGGAAAACAGCAGCAGCAAGATACATGAGGTATAGGTATAAATTCCCCACGATGAGTGTCATTATGTGCATCTCAAATGTACCAGTGGGGTGAGATGGTGCACACCGGTGAGCCCAGCACTTGCGAGGCTGAGACAGGTGGCCTGCTGCAGGTTTGAGGCCAGCCCTGGCTACATCGTGAGCTCAAGGCCAGCATGGACTACATAGTGAGACCCTGTCTCAAAAATCCAAAAACAAAATGAAAAAAGCCATGGCTTGGTACCAACTACTTCTAATCCCAGCAATGGGGAGACTGAAGCAGGAGGATCACCTTGAGTGTAAGGTCAGTCTGGTCTAAATAACGAAACCTAGTGTCAAAAAAAAGAGCAGAAATAAATAAGCAAAGTGACAGGGGAAAACGTTCCATTTCTTTTATTCCCCAGATAAAATATTTGGCAGCGATAGCCATTTTAAAAATCATAAAATGACCCCCCTCCTGTCCCTCTCTCGGAAAGGGGCTTTTCTTTCCTTCAATAAATATATTCTGCTCGTAACATAAAAATCATAAAATGATAGTAGTACACAGATACTCCTTATCACTCCCATCCTTTACAAAACATACCTGCTCTTGGTGTTAACATTTTCCAGGTCATTTTTAAGTGCAGCTGAAAGTTGCATTCTGTAAGGAAAAGCCTTGCATTATAAAACACGAATAACACATTGTACATGAAAAATATTTCCTAAATACAAGTTAAAGACTGATTTCTTTTAAGAGATACAGAATACAGGCTGATTAAAAAAACAAAACACTGGATGCACCACATGCGCCAGCCCCATCCCCAGACGCGCTGGGCCAGTCATGCAGGCCAGGCGTGGTGGCCTATAATCCCACCACTAGGGGGCAGAAATCAGGAGGATGGCTATGAGTCCCAGCTGTGTAGTGAGATCCTGCACAAAAAAATAAACCAAAACAAAAAGCCTTTAAAAAATGACTGTATGGGTTGTGCAACGAGATTGCAAAAGAAATCACAGAAATAGGATGGAACTCCAAGGTGGGCGAGACTGTGCGTGGCTTGCCCGAGGCTGCACTGACCCATCCCACTCTTGGCTCCTCCACGCAGTCTCCACGTGGGGGGGGGGGGGGGGGGGCGGGAAGGGCTGAGAACTACAGTGACAGGCAGGGCTGGAGACAGAGGCCTCAGGAATGCAAAGCCATCTGGACTGCAAACTAAGACATGCTGCTGTTGCTTACTGAAGGTGCCAAGGAGCTAAGAAGTAGGTAATAAGAAAAACTAAACGGGGGGCCAGGGAGATGGCTCAGTAGGATAAGCGCTTTACTGGCAAACGCAAGGATCTGAGTTCAATCCCCGGTTCCGAAAAAAAAAAAAAAAAAAAAGAAAAAGAAAAACTAAACAGGGCTTGGAATGTAGCTCAGTGGCGGAGTACTGTTCCCAGTACCACACAAAGAATCAATTGAAAAGGCAACACAGCAGTAATAAACGCCTTTCTTTATAATTAAAAAAACTTTAGCTTTTCATTAAATCTACAAAGAAATTCATCCATGAATACCAGAAATACAAAGAACTACATTAAAAGACATTTGATATTATTCCATCAAATTGTAAGTCTATAATCTAACATGTATCCTAATATACTCCGGAAACATAAAGCTAGGGACATATTACAAGAAATGCTATCACTAGGTGATTCTCTCCTTGTGCACACGTCAGAGTGGATGAAAGCTAAAACAGCTATGATGTCACTGCAGGACACAATCCCGCAGCACCACCTTGTTATATGTAGTTTGCGGTCACACATGACATCACTGTAGCTCTGTACCAGTGCGGACCAGGATAGAGTACTTCTATGCAAATATTCATTGAGGGGCCACAGAGATAGCGCAGCAGTCTAAGTCCCGGGTTCGGCCCCTGACACCCCAGGCAACTGGCCAGTGGGCATGCTGAGCAGGCCCCAAAACCACGCGTGGTGGTCCGCTCCTGTAATCCCAGAGTTGGACAGGCTGAAAACAGCAGGATCAATACAAATCCAAGCTGTGTAGTGATAGCCTATACTAAATACATAAGAGCAAATATTCACTGAATGAATTTAGAACTATGAATTAAGACTAATAACTAAAACTATAATCTGGGTACTCCAGAACATCTAATCGTACCTATTTGGGAAGCTGAGGCAGGATGAACTAATCATCACTGCACTTGACTGATTCATTTACTCCAGTTAAAAAAAACCTTTCTGCCCATATCCAACCAAGCTCTTCCTTTCCAACTTGGGCCGGGCAGAATGACTCCCGCAAAAAAGGGTGGTAAGAAGAAGGGCTGATCTGCCATCAACAAGGTGGTGACCCAAGAATACACAATCAACATTCACAAGGGCATCCACAGAGTGGGCTTCAAGAAGCGCGCCCCTCGGGCACTTAAGGAGATCTGGAAGTTTCCCATGAAGGAAATGGGGACTCCAGACGTGCACATCGAACCAGGCTCAACAAAGCTGTCTGGGTCAAAGGAATAAGGAATGTTCCATGTGATATCCAGGTACGGTTGCCCAGGAAACAGAATGGGGATGAAGATTCACCAAACAAGCTGTATACCTTGGTAACCTACATCCTAGTTACCATGTTCAAAATCACCACACAGTGAATGTGGACAAGAACTAACTTGGAAATAAAGTTACAAAACTGTCAAAAAAAAAAAACTAAAAAAAACTTTCCTCCTTCCCTTCGTCCCCATTTCACATTCAAGTCATGTGCTTATACTCAAATTAAGAAACGTACCTGCTCAAAGCAAGGCGTTTCATTTCAAAGGCAACTTTTACCTCTTCAATTTCATTTTCCAGGTCTTCAACTTTACTATTAGAGAAACAAAAGAATTTCAGCAATATCAGAGAAAGTTACTATTGAAATGAATGTATGAAGAAAACCTTTGAAAGGAGTAACATAACTCTGTTTCAAGAGATGGACTCTACAGACTCACCATATCAGCGCACAGTTACAGATTTACTCAACTGATTTTTGTCCAGCAGTACCAGGGAATGAATGCAGGGTCTTCGCAGTGGGACCCATTCCCAGCCCTCTTTTGTTTTCTTTTTTTTTTTTTTTTGGTGGAACCGGGGATTGAACTCAGGCCCTTGCGCTTTCCAGGGAAGCACTTATTCCACTGAGCTATCTCCCCGGGCCCCCAGCCCTCTTTTATTTTTGTTTTGAGACAGGGAGGTCACTCAATTGTCCAAGCTGAATTCAACTTGGCAGTCCTCTTGCCTCAGCCTCCCACAGTGCTGGGATTATAGGCAAAACTCATGCTTTCTTCTTTTTAAAATGAGAATAAAGCTTTAATGAAACATTTTTATTACACTGTTTTTATATCAGTGATGAGACTTTCCTTACCAAAGGATGTTTTCTGAGCTCTTCTCAGTTATCTTCTAAAATGATGTCATAGGGGGCCTGCCCAATAGCACAGCTGCTTAAGGGCCTGCTTAAACAAAGCCTGCAACCTCAAGCTTCTGTGGTTTGAACCCAGATAGTCACGGCAAACCAGAAATGCCCTAAAGGCATCTTCGGGCCTCCAAATAAATAAATAAAATGATGCCATAGAGTATAACATGCTCACTCGTCTATATGAAAGTTTCCATTCCAATCAATAACTTCCCAAGATGAAATTTTTTTTTCAGAACTGGGGATTGAACTCAGCAACTCAGCAGCTTAAGCACCTGCCTGGCAAGCACAAGGTCCTGAGTTCCATTCCTGGTACCAAATAAATAAATACCTAAATGGAAAAAAGTAGACAATGCTGTAACAGGGATGACATAAAGAAATCTTAGAAAACCACAAATAAAATTTTAAAATATGACGTACGCTTCCATTTGTTGTTCTTGTATGATCTGTTCTGGAGTTTTTTCTTCGTCTACAAAAAGGTAATTTTTTTAGGTCAGTAATGTTTTAGAACAGCACTTTCCAAAACGAATATAATAATTCATAGAACAAATACAAAGGATAAAACTTTGTGTATCTGTTTATATAAGAGAAACACATGAAAAAATATATTTAGCTCACTAAGTCTCAATTATTACTCCAATATACACTCAATTTATTTATTTATTTATTTTTCCTCGTGTCTGAAATTTCTTTTTTTTTTGTTTTTTTTTCAAAATTTTATTGATAAACAGATAGCAATGAGACAGTTTCAAATCAAATTGGAAGTACAGTTTCTTTTTTTGTTTGTTTCCCCCCTGGAAGTACAGTTTCAACAAATAACACACTGCATATATTCTTCTTAGTGGTTAATTGCTGTATAAGATGCGGACTTGAGATCCCATTTACAAACACCATTAGAACAAATCATTCTATTCATTAAGAGAATGCAACTATACATCCATCCTAACCACTTTGAATACACAGATACAAAATGGACATTCATCTGCATACCTCATTTTTTCTAAGTTTCGTTATTGAATATTATAGGTGTGTAAACTCAGTAAAATATTCTAAGAGTCCAGTAGCCCATAATAGCATTGGGTCTTCTGTTTAACTGGCAATGTCAGAAATTATTGACCTGAGTCCCCACAGCTCAACATAACAGCATGGCTTTACTTCCTATATTTCGTCTTCATACTTTTCTGCTGGATGGTTAAGACCAAGGTAAAGCAGGACCTGTGCAACAAGAGTTGTAGCTTTTTGGTCTGAGAAGGTCAGTGAAATCCCCTCAGGATTTATCCTGAGATCCTGTACCTCAGATTGTAGAACCTTTGTCAGTGCAGTACTCAATTTAAAATTACTAAGGACATTGCACATTTCCTTCTTCTATGTACTTTTTGTGTACAACCCGTCTCAGTGAACAGTAACCATATTAGCCCTGCAGAACGACCGCTACCTGAGGACTGGAAGACAGAACGCTCTGACTACATTTTTATGGGGAGGGCACTGAGGATTGACTCTGCGGTCTCACACGTGCCAAGCAAGTGGTCTACCACAGAGCTAGACATCCTCAGCCTCACAGAACCGTTCTGAAATGACAGAAAATAGCTGGGCGTGTTTCAGCACTATAATTCCTATAATCCCACTACTTAGGTGGCTGAAGCAAGAATATTGTGATGAATCTGAGCCCATCCTACAGGGTAAGTTCACTGTCTGAACCACACAGCAAGACTCTGGCTCAAAAGAAATTACTCCTCCCTGTACAACAGAAATAAGGGAATAGGGGCTGGAGAGATGGCTCAGTGGTCTAAAGCACCTACTTAGAACAAGCTTGGCAAGGCATCGGGACCGCGGTTCAATCCCCCAGCACCACATGCCAGCCAGCCCCGCCCCCTGGTGGGCTGAGCTGGCCACACACACACACACACCACTCTCTCTCTCTCTCTCTAATAAATAAAAATAAAAAAAAATTTAAAAAAATTAAAAAAAAAAAAGAAATAAGGGAATAAAAAAAACTACAATATTTAATGTCAAGAAGCAAATTAGAGGTTTTTTAGCCTATAGTTACAACAAGCAATTAGAAATTAGGTTGGCAGGATAGCTCAGCAGGCTTGGGCAAGCACAGGGACCACGGCTCAACCAGCACCATATGCCCCCCTGGGCTCCGCCCCCAGATGTGCTGAGCAGGGGGCCCCCCAGACTGGGCAGGTGGTGCACGCCTGTAATCCCAGTGCTGGGAAGGCTGAAAACAGGAGCATCACCATGAGTCCCAGCTGCATAGCGTGACTTTGTATCAAATACATAGTAAAATTAAAATTTTAAAATTATAAGTAATGGTATTCAAAACCATGAAATGCTTAAGGACAATTTTGAACCTTACCACTACTGAAATGAGTAGATATACTATGCACATGTCAGGAGACTCCACATTGCTAATACACACAGCAGCTCTTCTCATATCAGTACATAAGGTCCAATGAAATCCTAGTGAAAATACCTCAGGAGGAGAGGAAAACAAAGAGCCTAGTACTATCTAGGGTAATGGAAATGTTTCCTACCTAGTCTGCCCAATAAGGTACCCAGGAACTCCCAGTATTCTGGGAGGCTGAGGCAGAAGAACCACAACTTGGAACCCAGCCTAGGCAACTTAGTAACTTAGACCCTTTCTCAAAATATAAAATAAAAACAAAAGGCTGGGGCTGGGGCTCTGTGAAGACCCTGGCCTCAATCACTAGTACCACAAAAGTAGGGGGGGGGGTGTTAAACCATCTTTTTTTTTTTTTTTAAAGTTTCCTTTATTTATTTTTTTCTTTTTTTTTTTATGGTCAGCTCAGCCTACCCTGGGGGTGGGGCTGGCATGGCATGTGGTGCTAGGGATCGAACCGAGGTCCCTGCATGCTTGCCTAAGCTTGCCTAAGCAGGCGCTTTAGACCACTGTGCTACCTCATCAGCCCCAAACCATCTTCTCAGAGATAACCCCCACCACCCCATCTAAACGTTCCCTCCCTTTTATCAGGCCATACGTTCTTCTTCACAACTAACATACTCAATTACCTTGGTTTTTTTTAATGTTTTGTTACTACCACATAGACAATGGGTTTTAAAGTTGACTTTCCATCAGAGTACTGTTCATTATCAAACTCATACAAGTTTATTTGAAAAATGAAACTACTTACTTGCATCAATCATCGACTTATATTCTAAGAGTTGTTGTTTTGTCTGTGCTCTCAGCCTGTAAACAATATAAGAGAAAGTCATACAGCTATGGACTCAGGTATTATTATCACATGATGAACTCATTTTTGCTGTTGCAAAGTGATGTAATAAAATGGGCATAAATAATAAAGACCAGCAGAAAGCCTTCTAGTTCAGCCTCAATTTGTTTAAAATGAATAGTAAGGGCTGTGAAGATAGCTTAGTGGCATAAGTGCCTGTCTAGCAAGCTCAAAATTCTGAGTTCAACCCTTTGTACCAAAATAAATAATGATAAAAAGAAACAAACAAAAAAATGGCTACAAATAACTCATTTATTTATTTATTTTTGGCAGAACCGGAAATTGAACTCAGCCCCTTGTGATTGCCAGGGAAGCACCTACTCTACTGAGCCATCTCCCCGGCCCCTACAAAGAACTCATTTAAAAAGACACAAAGGCCAGACAAGATGGCACTCTCAGCACCCTGCAGGCTGAGCCAGGAGCAATCACATGGATTTGAAGGCCAGCAGGGCTACATAATGCACTCAAGGTCAACCTGCACTTTTTACTGAGACCCTGTCCAAAGAGGGGGAAAAAAAAAGCCCTAAAAGCTTTCACATTCTCAAAAGAAGACACAAAATAGAATGCAGTGGGAAATGAATGCAGTATGTCTTACTAGGGAGCCCAGGCTGGCCTTCAATTCCCCATCATCCTGCCTCAGGTTACAGGAGGAAAATTTTAGAGTGAGGTTATGAAGTTTATCATCCAAGAACCTCACAACTCTCCCGCTGGCCAAAAGTGCCCTGAAGGCATTCAAGGAACAAAAAAAAAAAAAAAAAAAAATCCTTCTTCCATTTAAAACAAACAAACAAACAAACAAACCACAACTTGGGCCGGGGAGATGGCTCAGAGTAATAAGCGCTTCCCTGGCAAGCACAAGAGCCTGAGTTCAATCCCCAGTTCTGCAAAAAAAAAAAAAAAAAACAAATGAAGTTTATCATCCAAGACCCTTAAAAGGGCTGGTGAGATGGCTCAGTGGTCTCAAGCTTAGCAAAGCACAGGGACTGCGGTTCAATCCCCCAGCACCACATGCCAGCCAGCCCCGCCCCCTGGTGGGCTGAGCTGGCCACACACACACACACACAAATAAATTAAAAAAAAAAAATATATATATATATATATATATATATAATAACAATGCTTTAAAGGCTGAAAGAGGTCTGCAAACATTTTTAGTTTTTCCCTGCAAAGAACCAGCTCTCAAATAGTTTAGGCGGGGCCGGGAGGATGGCTCAGTGGAATAAGCGCTTCCCTGGCAAGCGCAAGGGCATGAGTTCAATCCGCGATCTCGCCAAAAAAACCCAAACGGTTTTAGACTTTGGGGCCTTACGGTCTCAGTGTCAGCTCAGCCCTTGTAGCAGGAAAGCTGTGTTCCAACACGGGAACTGATATTTGCACGTCACATAATTCACATGTGCAGAGAAATCCTGCGCATCATTTAAACACAAGAAGACTATCTGGGTGACCACACCACATGGGCATGGGCGGCTTTTGCTCAGGGCCTCGGTCGCCCCACTGCGTTAGAAGACTGAACTCCCTTGTCGTCAAACGTTCCCTACACTCGCTCAGCGCAAAAGCAAAGCCCTGCGGGCCTGCCGCCTGGCAGCCAGAGCAACAACCTGAGCAGCAGTGACAGGCGGTCTTCGCCGCGCGCTTCCCGGGCGCCGGCCCCTACAGAATCTGCGGCGGCCTCCGCCTGCGGCTCCATCGCGGCTGAGCGGCGCCAAGGGATAACTCGGGTCGTCCAGAGGCTGCCCGGAAGACGCTGCTTTTCCCGCCACAAAATAGACGCCCGGAAGGAGTTCTGGCGTCCCGCCCCTTCCGCCTGAAGGACCGCCCCTTCCGGCGGAGGCCACGCCCTTCCGTCTCGGTCTGGTCCTAGTGGTTAGGGCTGTCTTTCTCTTCCCGTTACTCTGCCCCGAATGGTTATGGGGTACTAGGACTCGGACTCGAGGTGCAGCTCAGTGCTTAGCATGCGTTTGGGTACTCAGCAAAAAACGAACATCTTCCCTTCAAGCATAAAACGCAGATCTTTAACGCCTGCTGCAGCCTGCAGGGGAAGCGACGACAAAATGGCCTTTTAGGATAACCGGACCCGGCTTGTGGATCCCCCTCGGGGGATTTAACGGAGGAACTTAGCGAGGCCCAAGTTCAGCTGTCCCCGCGGGCAGGACAGAACGGGCGTCCGGGCAGGCTCACGCGTTCACGCTGCAGACCTAGCGCGGCGCCCCCAAGTGTCTGCCTTGTGACTCCTCTGGTCAGAAAGTGAAGATGCTGGCCTTGCAGATGCCTGATCCAAGTGTTTCACTGTAGTCATTCCAATAAGGGACCCTGCCCTCCACGAGCCCAGCGCCTGCGACTTCTTGGAACATGAGGGCCTGGATTCTCTACAGCGCATTCTAAGCCCTACAGCCAGACCTTTGCTGGTTATACATCCCCCAAATCACGCTTAAAATTCAAGACACAGGCACAAAATGAAAACCCAAGTCCACCACTCCTACCCCAAACTCATGGAGTGCTTTTTGTTGTTGCACTAATTTTGTTTTATAAAAAAATGATCTCTCACTTTCCTACTTACTGTGACTGCCTTCCAGTATCTCACTTCAGTCTTATCCTTGTGAGACAGCTAGGCTTGACCTCAGCCCTTGAGTGAAGGAATGTATCAGGGAATTACTCATAAAAAGTGGGAAAGCCTTCAAGACTATTAAGCCACAATAGTAACATACAGAAAGTCAGTTCTGCCTTCAAACGTATGTGACCAGCAGAGCTACCGACAAGCCAGAGCCCAAAATAAGCGGGGATCGTTAAAAATCAAACCTACGGGGCTGGGGAGATGGCTCAGTAGAATAAGTGCTTCCCTGGGAAGAGCAAGGGCCTGAGTTCAATCCCCGGTTCCCTAAACTAAATGAATAAATAAATAAAACCCACAGGGGCAGGGATATGACCTGCCCTGCTCCACAACCCAATAAGAACTTTGCCACCATGATAAAAGATATATTTGAGTGGTAAGGGACAAATGTAGAAGAGTGACTGAAGTGACCTCTAGTTACCTTTACTTTATACCTAGTAGGAATCACAAGTGTCGAACGACTGGCTATTGGGATAAGCAGCTTTTCTTCAGAATGTCCAATAATAGAGGGCCAGCCAAATAGCTCAGCGGATTAAAGTGCCTGCAAACAGGCAAAGGGGCCAGGGGTTCAAGCCCCAGGCCTGCCATGCCGCCCCGGCCCCCAAGGGCGCGCTAAAATGGCGATGGAGACTGGTGCAAGCCTGAAATTCCAGCTCTTGGAAGACTGTAAACAGGCAGATCATTACAAGTCTGATCTGGTAGTGAGACCCTGAACACCCTGTAGACCCTGCCCTAAAATACAAAAAAGTACAAAAAAAAAAAAAAAAAAAAAAAAAGAATGTCCAATAATAAATATACAAGAGGTTGAAAAACACTGAGATAAATGAATCAGGAAAGTATCATTAAGAGAGCGTCAAACTGAAAGGAGACCAGCACCTTCAGTAGTTAGAGCTGGTAGTTACTGTACTCACTAGACGGCCAAGCTCAGTATCATGAGTAGCGCCACAGTCTTCTGGGGACCCCAACATCACGTGGGTACCTGAAATTCTTGCCAAGATTCACAACCTGAACTTTAAATAAATTATCAGGCAAGAAATTCAGAAGAGGTGCACTCTATCGGACAGCTGACGTGGACCACCTGGCCCTGCGTGACAAACACAGGAGCACAGCACCGGTGTGGTGATGCACAGCTGTACTCCAGCACTTGGGGGGCGCGGGCAGCAGGGACCTGCGAGCTCGGGGCCAGCGTGGGCTACAGAGTGAGCACAAGGCCAGCGTGAGCTGCATAGTGAGACCCTGCCTCAAAAAGACTAAAAAAAAAAAAAAAAAGGAGAAGAGTCGTTGTATGTGGGAAAACAAATGCATTTTGACTGAACCTTGGGTTGAAGAAAACAAAGTCCAAAAAAAAAATCCTACACACAAAAACAACTGAAGTGGGAGAAGGCCCTAAGACATGTTTGTAATTATTGAATAAATCAGACTATATGTAATTGTGGCTTTTTAAGGAAATGGCTTAATTCTTAGAGATGCATACCGAAATATTTTAAGGTAAAATCACCTTGACTCTTAAAACCTAAATCCAAGTAGCTCTAGGAATATAAAAAGGCTAAGTACACACAAATATGTGTATAATAAGGGGCCGAGGAGATGGCTCTGTGGAATAAGTGCTTCCGTGGCAAGCACAAGGGCCTGAGTTCAATCCCTGGTTCTGAAAAAAAAAACAAAAAAACAAATATGTGTATAATCGCTCCCGCACACATACTTTGTCTCTGCATATATCTATAGCTCAAGATTCACTGATGTATGGGTCAGCAAGATAGCCCAGCGGTCTAAAGTGCCAGCTTAGGCAAGCTTAGGTAGGCACAAGGACTGAGGCTTGATCCCCGGCACCACATGCCATGCCAGTCCCACCCCAGGGCAGGCCACAAAAATAAATAAATAAATAAATTAATTAAAATTTAAAAAAAAAATCATCAATGTGGGGCCAGGGCTTCCAGTGAAGTTCAAAACTATCAACATAGGGCCAGGGAGGTAGTTCAGTGGCTTCAGAGCCTGCCTGGCAAAGCACAAGGGCCTAAGTTCAGTCCCTATCACCAGTATCAAAACAGAACAAAACAAAAAAATGAAAAAAATAAAGCTATCAATATAAAGATGATAAGAAATTTAGGCTAAGAAATTCATGAAAACAAAATTTGGTCCTACATCAATCCTCTTGGAAAGCTAGTTTCAGGCAGGTCCCCTCTCTGGTAATAGCAAGATCCATTGATGTTCAAGTTCTTATATAAAAAGTACGGAATTTTCATATAACCTATGTTTATCCTTTTTATCCTTCATACCTAATACAATGTAATATACACAAATAGTTTTTATATTGTATTTTTTAGGATTTTTTTTGGGGGGGCCACTCAGGATGCCTTCAGGGCAGCTCTGGTTTGGCTTGAGGATGAGGGGATGGAACGACAGCATCCTGAGCCTGACTGCTTTGTTTCAGCAGGCACTTAAACACCTCAGCTAATGGGCAGGCCCCCTATCTTGTATTTTTTAAAGGAATACCAACTTTGGAAGCTAGGGAGATAGCTAGGTGGAATAGGTGCTTGCCTGTCAAGCACAAGGTCCTGAGTTTGATTCCTTGTGCCACCAAACAAAACAAAAAGCCAAAAAATGAATACCATCTACTGAGAAAGAAATTACAAAAAAACAATACCATTCACAATAGCTTCAAGAAAAATTTAAACAAGTCACACTTAGTGGCCCATGCATGTAATTCCAGCCTCAGGAGGTTGAGACAGGAGGGTCACTATTTCAAGTCTAGTCTGAGCAACAAAGTGAGTTCGAGGCCAGCCTGAACTGCATAGTGAAACAGTTTATTTAAAAAAAAAAAAAAAAGAAACAAGAACCAATCTACCAACCTAACAAGGAAGTTATAGACCTCTGGTTATGACTCATATCTAGATGTCCCCCACCCCTAAGCCTCATGCATTCATAGGTGGGGCTTTTTGGAGCTGGGTGGATGTAGGGTGGGTGACACTGGGATTAAGGGTGGGTTGTCTGGGGGGAATGACCATAGTTCTAGGTGTGATAATGAAAGCCCCACCCTGGGTGTGGATGGCACCAGTCACCAGATTTGTATTCTGGATGTAAAATAAGGGGCGGCAGGATTGCTGCTGCTGGCTTCTCTGTTGCCCTGCCACAGACTGTTTCTTGTCTACAATAGCCCTCTACCATGTTTCCGGTGTTAGGACCAGCTGACTATGGACTGAAACTTCCACGAAGTGTGAGTTAAATAAACCTTCCCTGCTTTAACTTGTGGATGTTGGCTATTTTGTCTAAGCAATGAGAAAAATGACTCAGATGTTATGGGTCACTCAGAATAGGAACCAGATCAGCCAGATTGGAATTTGGAAAGCCATTTATTACTGAGCTCAGGGCCCCCAGTCTGCTCTCACACAGGAGAGGACGGAAAGGCGGCTAGCCCAGGAAGCAGGGGGCTTTTAAAACATGAAACCACATTCTGTTTGGTAAACAAATTCATTGACACAAAACAATGCTTTCAGGGTCATTGTGACCACTACCCAAACTAAATTTCCTGGGGCTTTGTTTTAGTTTCTGGTTATCTTGCACCTGAGTAAGTACTTGCAGGCAACCTTGCATAGCCCGAGGTTACAAGAAGTTAAATCCCATTCAGTTTCCTTATGAAGCCATCTCTGTAATCTAACTTTATTTATAGGGATTGGTTAGGTAGGAATTTTATATAGCAAACAGCAAGTAACAGCCACTATTTACTAAACAACTTAGAACAGTGGTGAGTATACATTTACAACAGAAAGCCTAAGATTTACACTTGTAATCTAAAATGTGAGTTGACCCATTACATGCCCTGCCACAGACTGTTTCTTGTCTACGATACCCCTCCACCATGTTTCCTGTGTTAGGACCAGCTGACTATGGACTGAAATTTCCACAAAGTGTGAGTGAAATAAACCTTCCCTGCTTTAACTTGTGAATGTCGGCTATTTTGTCTAAGCAACGAGAAAAATAACTCAGACACCTATAACAAACACTATAGTTCTGCTAGGTGTGGTGGGACATGCCTATAATCTCAACACTTGGGAAACTGAAGCAGGACGATCACTAAGAGTTCAAGGCCAGTCTGGACTACACTGTGAGAGCCTGTCTTGAAAAAAAAAAATCCATAGTTCTGTGATAAAGAAACTAG